AATATTTACAGTTCTTTTCTTCTTTGTTCTTTTCTTCTTTTTCCCAACCTGTTCTAATAATTGGCGTTCGGAATGTCCGGTCTGTTTTTCTTCAGCGACAACTAGTTTTAACTTCAAGTTCTATTGTTTGTACTTCCACGGACAGCAAGATTATTTGTTGGAGTTTTTCTTCAGCAGATATTATTCTTTTCATGAGGTTCGTTATATCAAAGTTTGACTCTCTTGGTCAACTAACCTCAACTCTTTCGACTCCTAACTTTCTCCAAATCAACTAAGAACATGAGGGCACTTGTATTTATGATTGTCCCTTTCAACTGGTGTGGTCGGGCGAATTGATGCAAATCTCCCAAAATTCAACCAGTCATTTTCTTTCGTTTTCTATTTCACATTTCAATTTTGAAGATCCTCTCCTTTGGGAGGAGCCATCATATGATGTCAGCCTTTCTGATGTCATTTTGCCTTTATCCTGTTTACAATTATAATTTTTCTCAGGGAAATTTTGGCCAACAACCTCTCAGCACATAGTCAAGCCGGACATCTTTCAACAGCCGACCTTAACCTCTGGCCTCTGATCCTGCATCTGTTTATTGAATCGCATTGTATAACTTTTTCAACAAAATTCATACATCTGTTCCCATATCCTGGGAAAATAATTCTCTTTCTGACAAAAATTTAAAATCATTTTGTTTTAACCCTTTTCGTCCGTACGCCATGTTAAATATTGTTACACTACTGTGAAATGGAAATTAATTAAAAAAAATTCATTATTCATCAAAACAGAATTTTTTTGATAAGACAATAGTGTCCTTAATAAGTCTTATTTATAAAAACAATTAAAAGCTTTTCTAATTAAATAATGTCATAATTTTTATTATTGCATTTTTTATTTCATCATTCAAAGCAGATTTTTGGGAAATTGGTAAAAGAAGAAAAAGTAACAAAATATGTTTAATTGAAAGTTTATTTCTTAACGAATAAAATTGGTTGACCAAATGAAAAAAAAAAAAAAAAAAAAAAAAGGGAAAAGGGCAGGACATTATCTGTGGACAAATCAACCTGCTGTGTGGTAAGCAGAATGGACAGTGCAGCTGTTGATGAGGGCCAATTTCGGCATTGGGTTCTGCAAGTGACAATTTCAATAAAGTCTAAACAAAAGACACTGCCAAAGACTGCAGGTGAGTTGTCTCCCAGACTGCAGGAAATAATCAGGGTTACACCCATGGAAATTACAATTGCTAATCAATATCAAATGGCACATACCACAACAGGCTACAGGACAACAGAAATGTGTGTTGCTATTTATATATATGCGTGTGTTTCACCATAGGGAGACGTTATGCCCTGAAAACAAAACAGTTTCATAAAAAGACTAAATGTTATTACGAACATTAAAATATCACTTGTAAATGTTTGGATTGTTGTCTAATTTAAAAATTGCAATGATAAAAAAAAAATGTCTATGATTTTAATGGCTTTTTATGGTCCTTTTTTTTTTTCTGAGTATTTCCTAAAATACAAAATAAAGTGACATTTGAATATCAATGTCAAAAATTTATTTTATTTAATTTTTCTCTCCGCTCCTCAAATTGCCTACTTTAGTTGGTAATTCATTCTTAGCTTCAGTTGTTGATAAAAAATTTTCTTATCAATGGCTTCGTTTTATATTGCCAACAATTTAGTTTCTGAAGAAGTGTTGGCTGAAAGGCACCTAAAATTTTAATCTTAATTGTGATACTTTTGTATTTATTTTAACAATAAAATTATGATCCTTAAAAATATAACATTTCATCATAAAAGTCAAATTGTTATTGGAAATAACAATTTTTCTTGCAAATCTGAAGACAATTTAGAAATTGTCCATCGACAACTTTTGAATATTTAGAATTACACGGTTGGTATCATGGTTCCCTTCAATAATGACATTTGCCTCAAGTCATGCTAACTTAAACAAGATAAGATCAAATTGTGTGTTCATCTTGACACAACACTCAAGCTATCTGGATTATTAGTACTCACACACTTCTACTGACCAATCAATCATTTGTGAATGTCATTTGTCCTAGCATGTTATAATACATGAGGGAGAGTTTCACAAACTCTCACTTTCCATTCCTCTTATTACCATTATGATATACCAATGACAAAAGCAATATTAAAGACAATGAGACTAAATACAGGAAGAATTAGATTCATGACTTTCTGAAGGTCATGTATATAAAAAATGAAATAAAATCTGCAAAACACAAAATATAGGTGCAAAGATGAACCCTTTGAACCTTAGAAAAGACTTTTCAGTTACAAAAGCAAAATTGGAATTGAATACAGATGAATAACCTTGTAACTTTTTGAATCTATTGTACATGAAATATACAACATGTACTTAACTGACCGATCAGTCATGGTCATAATTATTTTTTTTATTTGAAAATTACACCAATATTTATTAACAGGTTTTGAAATTAGACAATGGATATTTTTTGTTAACAAATTTTACAAATTCAGTTGGATGTTACTCTGGTTTACAAACTCAGTTTAAAATGTTGACATTCTAATGAGCCTCACCAACCAGACAATTTAACTGTACATTATATAATTTGATTTAATTTATTAATCTGCTGTCTAATAAATATTGACAACAATGTAAAAAGACATTGCAAATCAAAGCTTAGATGTTCAATGTGTTTTTGTATGCTTAAAAATCAGAATTGATTAATGAAAATTGCAACTAAAGATACAGAGTGTAAAACTGAATGATTTCTTTCCAAACCAAAGAAAAGAAAGTAAAAAATATTAATTATTTCTGATGTTAAACATTTTATCAATTTTGAGTTACATACATTTTAATCAAATCAAAATTGTTCAGCATGATAAAAACATTGTGACAATTATTTTTGATAAAATAATAAAGACTTAAAAAATAAATTATTCTTAAAAATCACGAGAAAGCAATTATCGTCTGACATTTATCAATTCAACTCAATTTCTTGTTTATGCTGAGTTATCTGCTCTTAGCAAAATGTTTAATGTTTTTTAAAATTTTTATGGTTTGGAGTTTTTTTTTTTTGATTTTTTTTTAATACAACAATTTCTGGTAATTTTGCAACCTCATTGTTAATGAAAGTTACAACATTAATATTTTTTGGAGCATTTGTCTTTCTCAGCTTGTCTTCTCCACTTACACAAATGGACTAAAAGTTAAAATTGAAACCAAAAATCAGTCATATTTTTTACTCATCAATTCTAAAATTGCCAAGTGGTGCAAATTTGCAATTTTAGTCATTTTCTGCCAATTAACAAACTGGAAAGAACGAGGTGGGAAGGAAAGCCATGAAATTTGGGCTAAGGGATAAAGCTGAGAAATTAATGGCAAAAAACATTGGACTCACTCCAGCTAAAGTATCTGGTTGGTGTTGCTCAGTACATGTAAAAATTCACAATAATTATTTGATACATCAAGTGATATTAGATTAAGCCAATCAATTTATCACACAAAAAAAAAAATGAAAAAAAGAAACTGAAATATCAATTGGTCAAGTCACACTGAACTTGTATTTTTCCCATTATTCATTTTATAACCAACTCTTATGTAAAAAAAAAGTCTGCAATGTTTCTTCTGGAGACAACATTTTGGATGCAGACAAAGACTGGTTCAGCAAACCCAACAAAGGAATTGCCAAAATCCAAGAAATTTGTGAATGTAGAGGCAAGTTAATGGTTATTCAGCTAGCAATGAAGTCACTTGCCAAAGATTATTTTATCAGGATTCTTGAATGCAACAAGCAGAATTCATTCCCAGAGAAATAGAATGTGTTCAATTTGCAATTAAGTCTAAGAAATCTGTAAATATTTTTTAAAGATTCTTGAAAGCTGGATATGTTTAAGACAAATTCATTTTTAAATGATATTTATGAGGAGTTGGGAGGATGTCATTTTCAGTTTGTCAGAATCAATCTTTGCTAATTCATTCACATCAGCCATAACCAAACAGTAAAATTGAGAATTCCCTCACAACAAAAAAAAAAAAAAAATCACTTTGGATAAATGATGTTCTTCAAGAGAAACTAAAAAGAAAATATATTAGCACAAAGATTTTAATTTTAATGATTACATATGAGGTCAAATAAAAGCATGATTAAGTCAATGAGGATCTAAAACATCTTAATGTGTCATTACAAGAATTTTCTTATTAAAATATTCTTTAATATCTAGAAAAAGGTAAGAAGAGCAATTGAAAAATATTATCAAAACGTCTAAATTTATTAAAAGCCATTCAAGTGAATGAAAGTCATGGAAATACTTTAAAGGCTTTTGTGGCTGATTCATTGATTTTACAAGACAAAACATAAAGCTCACCAATTAAGAATCTTTGAGTTTTCGAATAAAATAAACAATTTGATTTACTTTCTTTGGACTTGATTTAAATGTTATTTCAAACAGTGTCTTCTGTTTTTTCACATAACTTGAGTCCTTATCTAGAAAGAGCTAAGGAAAAAAATTGCAACAATTAACATTGTACTGGAAGTCCTCATCTTTGACTGAATTTGATTAATTAATAAGAGAGCAGGTTATAAAGTTTTCTTAATACATTAAATCATTTTCTAAAAATAACATTTTTTGTCACTTTTTGGTTTCATATACTTGAAAAAGTAGAATTGTTTTTATTTACTTTTCCAGACCTCAAAATTCAGTTTAAATTTCACAACAATAATACCGGAAGATTTTCCAAAGAAAAAATTGCTTCAAGCCGATTAATAAAAAAGGTGTCTTCAGTTTAAAGAACAGAAATTAAAAATGATTAACAAGACAGAAAAATCTAAAGCAGAAACTCAATAACAAATCTAATCAAAAATAAATAAAATCATTTGTGGTGAAATTCTATTGAGGTCTTAATGATTGGATGGTCAAAACACAACAATTCATTATAAATATAATTCCAATGTATACACATACACATATACACACACACACCCACACCCACCCAACAGTCAAAAGCATTCTTTCTAAATGGAACAAAATTTAGAGTAGTCATCAGTGTTCATTCCAAACCAATGCCATTTATTTTTAGTCCATGATTTCTCTTTGATTGAAATTAATTTTCCCTCAAGTCTCTTCATGACTGCTTGTGTTGGGGAGGTGGGGGTCAAATTGTTGCCCCCACATGTCACTGTGCCAATCAAGCAAGAATCCAGAAAGAGTTTTTTTTTGTTTTTTTTATCACAGTTGTAAAGGCACCAGAAAAAAATCTGCAAAGAAAAAACAAAACAAGTAACATAAATGAATCCAGAGAATTAGTCGCCATTTAAAAAACAAACAATTGAGGTCAGAAGAAGATCATTCAAGTTACAATTATATTTTGTTTATCAATTCATTATTCTGGTCTTGTTCTGAATGTAGAAATTTATATAATGAGAGTGTCATAGATTTTACAAATACATAAATGTACTAACAACAGACTGTTTGGCTTGTGAAAAATTTACTGAAACCCAAATAACCACCATTTTAGTTTAAATTTGTACGAAACTTATTTTGCATATTATAGTTTGATCTGAAGCAATTACTTTCTTTTTTGTCTCAATTGGGAAATCAGGGTTCGGCAGTATTTTCAAATTTCCCTTTTGTTCAAATGAAACATACAGATGAAGGGGAACAGGAGGGGGGGGGTCTGTTCTTCCATTTACTTTCACTCAATGACACATACCAATGTGTATTTTAAACAACATCATTTCATTCTCTGTTCTGTGTCAAAACATTGAAAATACCACCTAAATTTGCTAATGAAATTATAAACTTGGGGAAACTTCAAAATAAATACGTCCAGATTCACAATCAAAAAACTTTCACCCAGTAAACATGATCATTCATTGCACATGCACATTGCTACAAAATGATATTTTATTTTAAGCATTAATCGCAAACATCTGTCTGTTTATACAACTTTTCCTCTCTTGATATTAAAACATTTTGGCTCATTTCTCTTGTATTCAAAAGGTAATGATTTGGCAATGAAAAGCCATGCATTTTTGACATGACCTTGATTGTAAAAAGAAAGTAAACGTTTTCTTCCTTTGTTACAAGAATTGAATTTGAACCAATAATTTTTCAAAGAGAACATTGTCTCCTTTTTTAATATTTATTTGTTAAAATATATTTTTGTTTCTTTTTATTCTGTTTCTTTAGAGTTTTTAAATGTTTTTTTAACTACTTTTCTAATTTATTGAAAAGTTTATATTTCCCAATTTCCCCCAATGGCAGTTGAATAGTGTTGTCATCATCGTTGTCAAAGAAACAAAGTCAAACTTACCTTTGTTACTTGTTTTTTCTTTTGGATGCCATGTGAAAGATACAGTGAACAATAATTGGCCACAATGCAAAAAAGAAAAATGTCTTCATGGAAACTTCGGGAAATGGCCACCAAGAATATGACTGCAAATGGGAAAAAATATTTCATGAAATAAAATGAACTTGTATGAAAATCGTATGAAAATGAACAACTTATCGCATGAAAGGATTGATTACTGTAAATAGCTTCAGTATATGAAAACTCAATCTTTGTCAAAATAATTTTAATTGATTAAGTAAAATAAATCGTTTCTTTTCAAATATTTTACAGTAATGATTGAGTTACTTCCCTTGAGGGTCATTGAACCATTCATTGTTATTGATGCTAAATATAAATACAGATGATTAATAAAAGTTTTCACAGTAATATATTTTTAATATGCAAAGAACAAGAGAGAATGTGAAGTCAAAGAAAGATATTTGATTCTAGTTTGAAAGCAAAAAAAGGATATTCTTTAAGGAGAGCCCCTCACTTCTAGTCTGAATGACAAGATGAGGCAGGCTTTTCATATAGGAACAAAAAAAGTTCCTTATTATCAGGTATAAAAAAAAAAGTGAACTTTAACTCAAAATATTTTTTTTAAATTTCAATTTTTGCCTTTCCAGTCTCTTTACTAAATACACAATATGTCTATGAAATCTGAATCTCTTAAAAGATGAAAACATTAACAAGCAGAAGACTTTTTCTAATCCCTAAGAATAACTGAATTTTTGACAAATGTTCATACCTACTTAATGCTATGTTACATCTTAGGAAGCTGTATCATCAAAGTTCAATTTTCTTTCTACAAGAATTGCTCAGAGACAGAAATGGAAGTCCCTTGAAATAGTTTAGAGGCAAAATTTAACAGGAAATATTATCTACACTTAACATACAAAATTATTTATTTATATTCTCAAATATTTACCCAAAACAATGTGCAGATGATAGAAAACAAACCACAAATATTTTCTTATTTGCCAGAAAACAAACCCCAAATATTTGTTGCAATCAAAATTAACAACTGAAACTGATTTTAAAAAATGATAATTAGCTGCAGCAATACAAAGAATTTCAATCATGAAAACTTATTGACCATCACAAATCCAATTGCAAATGTCATAAAAATTGAAGGGAATTTTTGGCTGTTTGTTGTCATAACAAAGGCAATTAATAAAGTTTTTTGCAGCATTTAAGCCCAAATATTTTCCAATGATGTTTCTAGAAGTGACAGCAATATCGCCCCACATACACACAATGGCAGCTCTTCCAGAAATGACCTTCCCAAAGAATAAATGAAGAATATTAAAAAATTGTTGCAAAAATATTCCCAAAACCTGTCTGTTGCATTTAATATGAAAAGTGACTGAAATGAACAATTCTCTTACCACTTTGTCTTTTTGGGTATTTTTTTCCAAAGTGTCCAATCGCTGAGCAACAATCTCAAGATCCGATTGCAACCGTACAAGAGCAATGGCAATTTGTTCGGTGAAGTTCGATGGAGGTCTTAATGGTTCAGGAGCTTCCCCTCCTGGCCTTCCAGCTCTACCAGTGTTACTTACTTGATAACGGATATGCTGATCACCAGGGCAATAACTCATTTCACTCTGGCCTGTCAAACAAAAGCCAACAAAGAAAGAAACCATTCATGAATAAAAGAAACAATGACAACGCAAATCACTTAAAATTTAAATAAAACAATTAAGAGACATTTTACAAAGAAGCACAGAAAAGTTTTCATCCAGTTTCTGAAATCTACCTAAATGACAAAACATCGGATATTCTTTTTTGGCAGGAGAGGACCTCTTGGCCAGGTTAAAAACTTTTCAGCAGCCTTTTTAAATATACAAATATGCATTTCAATAAAGCATAAATACCCAGATTTGTTTTGTAAATTCTTCAAACCATATTTATTCAATTTCTTTCAAGTGAAATTTCTAACTGTAATGAAACTGCAAGAATAATTAAAATATTGCCACAAGCAAATAAGCCAGTAATTATGTCAATGATGCAGAAAGTTAAGTAAATCAAAAAAAAAAAAATCATTGTTTATGTAATTGGGAAATGCTACAATCAACCATTTGTCATGTTCAAAAATGAGAATATTTCACAAGCACATCAAATATGGTTGTCAATGTTCCTAGGTCTGAAATATTTCTAAAGTGTTTTATGGTGAAAGTTTAAGGCATATGGGATTTTAACAATCAAAATAGGTACTTATAAGCACTTTTAGGGGAGGTTAGAAGTATTCGTGGATTCTAACTATTCACAGCCGGTTCTGGTCCGTAACCCACATGAATACGGGGGACTCACTGTACACCTATTTATCTATTTATATTTATACCCCTGCTTATTTGTCTTTTACCATCCCTCCTCTCTCTTTCTCATTCTTTTCATAGAACAATACATTGCCATTAAGCATTTTCCAAAAAAATGGATGATTTCAGTTCATAGTTTATGGTAGCCAAATACTTGAGCTAATCATCTGCAAATAATAAAAACCTGCCCATCTCTTCCATTTCTCTGGATGTCAGTGGAACTCAAAGACAACAGAATTTTGTAATCAGTATACAACGGGAATGTTGAAAAGTTCTTGTTCCAGCTCAATTCCCCAAAAAAAAAAAAAAAAAAAAAAAAAAAATATTCAGATGTTTAGCCATTAAGATAGCAATTTTGGAAAGTGGGCTTGGCTGAGAAATTTTCAGCAGCCCCCACTCCACCTTGTAAAGATTAATCAGATTGTTTCTTTCATAAAGGCTCAGCATGCTCAAAATGGGATCAAATCAGGGAATCCTTTCTTTTTCGTTTTTTGTTAAGCAAACCTGGTATTCATCCAGAATCAGATTGGTGTTTGTTTTTTTTTGTGTGAAGAGAAGATTATATATTAAAGGAAGGAGAGTAGCATTGTAATTTACAGAATCAGACAATAAACAAAAGAAAAAAATATTTATTCCTTACTCCGTGGTATATTTCGGGATGTTGCCCCATATCCACTACTTGAAACTCTTCTTGATGTTTTATGGCTAGGTTTTTCCTCTTCTTCTTCTCCACCCCCATGAGTAGTAACATCCATCATTGTATTTGAGGGTACAATCTCTGCTGCAGGACATTTGGGGTCATCTTGCAGGACTCCAGTAACAGCATATTCATGATCCACATCGCTGACCGACTGGCGTGATGGTACATTGACTAGCATGCTATCTGTTGAGCACTTGCGGTTCGGAATATAAACAAAAGGATGGGTAGACGAGACAAGAACTTGTTCACAAGAGGTGGCAGAATTAATCAGAGTCGCATTGTTTTGGGGTGGAATTCTTGCTAATGCTTGACCGGCAGATTTACGTAACTTGGTCAACATGTTGGGGTTGTGCTTTACAGGAGATGATAAAAAAACTTGGTCTGTGTCACTGCTATTTGTAACACTGTTGCCATCGTCAACATTCTGCAGAAGGAGAAGATAAACAAACAGCTATATCATTTAAAAACAAACATAAAGAAAGCTATATTGAACATTCTGCTTATACTTTTACTCTCAAATAATAAATGCTAGAAATATTAAACTTTCAAAATGTCAGCGATATATATATACACAAACTATACTTTTATTTCATTGTGATATTTTTGAGTAATTTGGAACAGAGGTAAAAGCAATCAACATTGAAAAAACAAAACAAAAAATGCTGTTATTATTTCCATTTAAAAGACAAAACATGTCTGAAAGAATATAATTTGCCTTCTTGAAAATTACCATGCTAAAAACAAAAAAGAAGAAAAAGGTGCTTTAAGAGATTGAACAAAATATTTCAATTGGAACAATCAATGTAAAGTTTTTAATTCCCTTATTTTTGAGTAATTGTATCCAAATGATTGAAAACTTCACATTCAATTGAATTTGCTTTTATGCAAAACTGATCCTGTCAATCAATCAGTGCAGTTATCAGAAAACATCATTCAAGAGTAAAAAGGTTAAAATAGAAGAGAGCCTCTTTCAAAAATGAACAGAATTTAAACATACAATTATTTAATTTCCTTTAATTACCACTCAATGAAAGTAAATTTATCAAAAACAGTTTTTTGAAAAAGGATTCCTTCAATTGGATCAAAAATGATAAGTTTCTTTTATTAACCAATATCTGTATATGAAAAAAAAAGCAAAAAAATCTTCTTAAACACAATCTTGTATCAACTTTAAATTTTTGCAAACAGTCTTCTCTCCAACAGCAAATACAAACGAAACATTCTTCTCCCATTACATCAGCAAGTAAGAAAAATTGTCTAACCTCTTGTGATTTGTGGAGGTCATCTGTGGTATCACAGTATTCCACATCACTGTCTGTATCACTGGTGACCTGAGAGCCATGAAGAGGAAAAGCAGAGGCATCTGACTTGACTGCATCCAAATTCAATTTATCCTCAGTACTTTTGTCATTTGCTTCCTCCTTTCCAATTCTTCTATCTTCTTCATCATCGTCGTCGTCATCATCATCATTGTTGTTGTCATCATCATCTTCATTACTGCCAGGACCATTCACAAGAGGAGTCAAAGAATCTAAAAGTACCGGAGACCAAAGCAAATGATACAATTGTTTATGGATACATTTCTAAAAACCAAGAGGATGAGAGCTTTGCAGTCGACCTCTCCCCTGACCTTAGGTTGAACATTTCAATGAAGAAATAATTAGCCTGTAACTTAAAATAGCTAAAAACAGAAAAAGGCTAGTATTATCACCACTATTCAGACAACCATGAGTTTTCTCCAGTCACAATGAATGGTTCCACTCTGAATAGCACTCCATGCTTTAAATATTTGATTGAGTTCACTTCAGAATTCAATGATAACTCAATATATATGATTCATTACTAAAGAAGCTGGAAAAAAATGATCAACTCACAATCACCTCTAAGAAATATATGAGATCTTCTGCCATGTTGAATCTTTACAAGCATTAGATTAGGCTACAAATGGAGTATTGCTGCCATATTTGGTTGGAGCTACTCAATCTTCACATTCTAGTCTTGATAGAGTTTGAAATTGGTTATACAGTCTTATTTTCCACTCTGCAATCTCTTTCCCCACAGACCTAAAACGTTGCAAGTTTGTCACTACTCTATTGCTACTTCATTGACAAATGTTCAAGAGATCAATTCTTTAATTCCACCAGTTTTTTTTCTCCCAAGAACGACCATACCATCAAATAGACCCCACCACATGAATTCTTCTTTGAACAACATTAATCTGGATTTCTTCAAGTCAAGAGGTAATCATTATGTATACCCCATATCCTCCATTATTACCACTTCCTATCATCCTTACTCTCTCTCTCTTACATTCTTATCATACACTTCATTCACCATTATCATTCTGATAGTTACTCTCTGCCTTGAGTGGCTCTTTAAGTATTGGGTATTTAGTAAAAAAAAAAAAAAAAAAAAAAACTCTTGATATCAAGCACTATAATTATAAATGTCTTGTATCTCTAAAATAAGAAATACTACAGTAACTTGCTCAAACTTAATCATTTTCCATAAATGACATGCTGTGTTTCACAAACTCAACTTTCTCTTTTGGCCTAGTTTAATAAGAAGACCCAAGGTAAAAACAATGAAAGTTAAGGAAAATGTCTATAATTTTTGAAGAATCTTTTTTTTTTCTTGTTTTCTCATACTTACTTGTAACTAGTGTTCTCATATTATGTACTTTCAGGCTTGACTAAATTCCTTTATTTAATTGCAGTTTAAATATATTGCAGGTCTTGTTTGTAAGGAACCGTTAGACATGCAATTTCAATTTAAAAATTGAAATTTTTTTAATAGAAAGGCAGAATTTGTCAACAGAATGGTAATGGTAATATTAGCCATTTCCTTATTAGGAAATAAACCTGTATAAATACAAATTACTTAGGCACAACCCAAACTCATAATATAGACAACAACATGCAATACTCTCGCTTCATTATTTGTGTTTCTTTTTAAAACAAAAACTGCATCAAATATGTCAATACGTTAATAATTTAGTAAGTTTATATTTTTTATTATGAAACAGATAAAAATAGTTTCTGCTTCTCTGCCCCGAAGCAAACGTGTTATAAATAAAAGGGAGAGCACTCTCACCTGACTTTCTGACGGCCATTTCATCCACATCAAGCCTTGCACAATTACTATTCACATCAATCAGCGGATCGCCGGCAGAGTCGGCATTGGTTGAATGGCCCAAGTTTCCATTGACTAAAAAAAAAATATCAAAAGATATCAAGGGTCAAATGTTGTTCTGAAGATATCTGACTAATGTATGAGCCACAAGTTTTCTCCTTCATTTCCTTAGACTATAATCAAGACAAGAGTATTTTTAAAACAGTTGTTATATTTGCTGTTCGTCTCATGAAGAAAACAAAAAATAACAGAACTGTGTTGATTTCTTTCAAAAAGTATTAGAAGATAAAGAAACCAAAGAATTAAAAAAGTAAAGAAGTATAATAATTTAGCTTTCATTGAATCTTTTATATTAAATCCCAAAAGAGGGAAGAATTCTTCAGAGGCATTTACCGTATTTGACGGCATATAAGGCGCACTTTTTTTTTTTTTTTATTATGCCATATGTTGGTTTAAAATTTGTGATAGTCTGCCGAAATTAGCTACCTGGCAACTCCAATTACCTTAGACTTTAGAGTAACTTTAATATACCTATTGTCATTATTTAAAAGGCTATTATGCAGATTAAAAGTATTATCATTGATAACATTCATTATATTAATTTCATCACGTTTAATATTAGTACTTTGTTTCACCAAAATTATATGCAATAAATTCAAATTATATATCTGTAAAATATATTTGTTTCATCAATATTTTTCTTGTAATAACTTCCAGTTGCATTGGTATAAATACAATCAGAATTTTTATATCCTAATTATTCTAATAAGATGTTTACAAGATGTTTACAAGATGCAGGTTGTACAGATAAAGGATATAATAAAGTTTTTATAGACTCATATTCTTTTTTCCTATTATTTTTCATTTAATTGTAATCATGGCTTGTTTAACCAAAATAACACCTCATAAATATAGCCTAGGCTGTACCACTTAATACTAATTTTACTAATTACTAATTTTTTCTTGATTTGCCCGGCTGAAATTGGGGTGTGTCACATACACTCGTGTATCTTGTATGCCATCAAATACAGTACATTGCACTCCTGTAAACCAAACTTATACATCCTCTAATTATAAATACCCAATATGATATACACTATTTACATTGTTCAAGCTGTTGTCCTCATCTTTATTGTCATATTCATGATGATTCGGACTTCTTCAAGTGACAAATGTTGGAATTTTGAACCAAACCTTTTATTTAGTCCATGGGGGTAGATTGTTATTTTTTGGATATCTCAATATCAGTTAATTCCCTTTAGTAACTCATCTCTCCAAGTTTTTGTTCCCTCTGCTGTTGCCAGGTATTGAACTCACAATTCTTTGGGTCAAGTTACTTTTGGGTTACTTCAATCAACACTTTTATCCACTGGACCATGTGTCCTTGGGCCAGTGAGTGAATTTTCTGGTCGTAAACTCTGGCCTGACCAGAAAGAGGTCCAGCTACTACTGGACCATGTGAACTCAATAAGACCATCGATACAGTTCACAATGGAGAGAGAAAACAACAACAGACTAGCATTCTTGGATGTACTAATATCTCAAATAGATCATGGTCTCAAGACATCTGTATACCATAAGCCAACAATACCTCAACTTTGACTCCCACCACCCATTCAGTGTAAAGAAAGGGATTGTCTGCTGCCTACAATATCGAGCAAAAGTCATAAGTGGCGAACCAGAAACACATGAATAAGAAATGGTCAGTATAAGCAGTATCCTATAATGTAACAACTACCCTGACAACACAACAACTACTAGATGACAACATCCCCCACAAACTGGGATAGAAGGGTACAAGGTGATAACAACATTCAGAAAATAGCTTTGGTCTGCCTTCCCTATGTGAAGGGCTTATCGGAAAAAATACAAAAGATCTGTGGTCCATATAACATCAGGACAACCTTCAGAAGTGGCTCAACATTACAGACATCTTTTCCAAGTAAGACCCCATCATTAAGGACTGGGTGTACACCATTCTATGCAGCTGTGGCAAGAAATATATAAGAGAAACAGGTTGCCCACTTAAGATAAGACTGCAAGAACACTGTAAAGCTGTAATATGAGAGAAAATAGAAAAATCATGCATGGCTGACCATATATGGATAGAAAAGGGCGATTACTGATGCCTGTGAGATGATATTGAAATAATAGACAGAGAACATTACTGGAAAATATGAAAAACTTAAGGAATCAGCACATATGCTAGGCCACAAAAATATCCTAAGTTGGCCAAGCATAGATATGAATAGAATATTGGAACCAGTAATACAGAAATCTAGAAAAAAAACAACAATAACAGAAATTGCTAAATGAGGTCCAGTAAAAAAAATGAACTACTAAGACATTAAGTTTATAAGTCCCAAAAATTTGCTCACATCCTAATGAATAAAAGCATTGGTTGAGTAATCCAAAAAGTGACTTGACCCAGAGAATTGTGAGTTCAATAGATGGACAGAAAAAAAAATTGGAGAGATGAGTTACTAAAGGGAAATAACTGATACATCTCTCAAGGCAATTTTAAATTTCCATCCTCTCAAAATGTTTTATCTTTTTTAGCAAAGAACAACACATGGTGCCTTTTTTAGTCTTATAGGAAACTGAAAGGTTTCCTTTGAAAAAATTCTGACCTGAATAAATAAGAATCTGAAGGTAGAATATCTGGTGAATATGGCAGATGAGTAGAAACTTTTCAAGCTAGTCAGGAATAATGTTTGTTTAATTATGTGTGATCTATAGACTAGATTATGACATATGATTATGTTACTCGATGGAAGATGGATCGGGGGGGAAAATGGATAGAAACAACTGACTTACCTGTCAGTGTCAAAAGAGACTGGGCATGGTTAGGCAAAGGCAATAAAAAATTAAAAAAAAATAATCCTCCTTTTATCTCAGAAATATATCTAAATACTGAGAGTATAAAAGTATAAAAGAGAATGCTGACCTGTGAGGAGGAGTAATTTTACCTGCAATGAAAGGGAATCAAGTCTTGAAGTTGAGATATGAAGCCTGTAGCTCAGAGAATAGAAGTCAGTGTTTCCACCCGCTTTTTCTACAAGCTACTTTGGCTCCCTAAAAGAATAGCAGTGAAAGAGTTTGACCACAGACTAATTCCTGAATTTGATGGTCCAGCAAGAGATTGAAAAGGTCAAACTTGTGTGCACTCTGTGAAAAAGGTCAAGCAAGTTCTTCCATTATATTCAATAAGTTGAGCATTCACCATTTATGAACAGGTCAGTGAGGAAGACAAATGCAGTGACAAAAAAAGTCCCAATGGATGGCTTTTGTGATAAACTTGTTCATAGTCTCTGAACAGCTCATATGAAATTAGCAACCAGATATGTCAATATATCCTTGCAGACCTGCAGAAGTTGGCGGCATTATTTTCTGGGGATATCCACATGTAGCCTGGCATGCACATTCATGGCAAGATTGCTGAACAGTATTAGGCAGCTCATTCCCACCTCATCCAGGATGAATTCAACAACTGTGAATCAATTATTAACTAAAAGCCCAAGTAATAAATTAAAAGATGGAACTGTACCGAGGGTTTGATAGCCACCCCAAGCCATGCCGTGTCCATTAAAGTTGAAACATTCTCTACCAGCAATCAGTATAGCAACATTACCTGCCATAGATAATTTGGTCCCAATAACTTTGCAAGAAACTGCTTGCACCAACATAGTGGCTGCACACAAGCAGCAGACAAGGAAACGTTGATAATTCTAATACAATAAAGTGAGACACATTTACTCATAGCTGGAAAAAGTGATTCCTGTGGGCTATAGCAGCTGAACAGGCAGGTGTGAACCAAGGAAAAGATTGTGGTTTCACTTATTATTTCCAAGAAGATAAAAAAAAGCATCAATGCCAGCTTTCACCCAAGAAGAAACGCAATACTCAATAGGAAGGTTAAGAATATCAATACAAGAAAGTCACAAAATGATAACAGAATTCTTGTGAATAGGAGGTTCCTGTCTAATAGTCAATTCAAAAAAAATATCAACAGATACTACAGTGTGATCCAAATTGCCAAGAGGACAGAGTTGTGATGCTCAACGGGCTAGAAGAGGAGGTAAGGAACAAATCGAGTAAAGAAGCTTGTTGATTAGAATTATTAAGGAAACGAGTAGGTAGATCCACTATTTAACTGGAAAAACAATGGAAAAATTGAATATCTAAATACCAGCAATATCAGTAACAGTAGAAATTTAGAATGTTTAAGCTACTTGATGTGATGAGCATTAAAATCAACAAAAAAAAGTTTGCAGATGAATGTAGAGAGGGAGCCATATCTATATTGTCAGATATTTTGACAAATATGTAACAGTCCTGAGAAGAAGGGGATAGCAAAGAAAAAAGAGATAGCTAACAGAGTGCAATAACAAAAGTCAAAAGCACATAAAAGAATCATCTGGAGACTAAAGTGACAATTCCCTTGCAATTAGAACATTTGGCAAGGGAAATGTCTCGTGAATTAAACTTAAAGTCTTAATCATTGATGGAAGTTTAACATGTCTAAAATCAGAGCGTCACAATTACTTGACCATCTCTTCCCATCTTATTTGGTAAACATAGAACATGCCTAAACTCATTGGATGTCTTTTTAGAGAACAATTAGCACCAGCTTTACATTCATATAAGCTCTGTTGAAAAAGTCAAAGCTAAATATTATTATTCCTTACATTCTGTTAGACTTTCTTTTCAAGTCATGCTTACTACAGTAGAATACTTACCTTTTCTGCTAAGTGCACTATTTTCAGAAATGTCAAACATGTTTCCATTGGGAATGTCTCCATTTTGGCAACTGATATCATGGCAGGAAAATTTCTCCGAGAATGTTCGATCATCAACCAGTTCATAGAAACTGCCTAATTTTTCCACAAATTCAGCCACCAACTGAGTCTGTGGCATTGCTTCTACAATCTTTAACAAAAAAATAAAAATCAATAAAGTGTTACTGAAGCACAGAATCAACTTTTCTTTTGAATGTCTTAGAAATGGCATAACACAGTTTCTATAGAATTAATAAATTCAATGATGATTGCATTTATCCAAAGAGAACAGTTTCTGTGAATTCAAACTAAAAATTTTTTCCTTTCAAACTAAATACCTATTTTTTTCTGCTTGGGGTCACCTAACCTTGACAACATTTCAGGTCCTCCAACTTAGCAGCAGCAGCCATTTTATCCTCATCAATCACTGTATTATTTGAAGCCATTGAACATTTAGGATTTCAAAATATTTAGAATCATTTAGATAGCAAAAAAAATCTACTTATCCAAGAATTATCTTTGTCTAGTATCAAAGATTTTCATAGAAAGTTCTGAATTAAAAGAAACTGGTCATTTTTTTTTCTTTGTGTTGAATATATATATAAAATTTTATGTAAGTCAATGTTTTCATAATAAACTTATCAAAATGATGTTCATAAAATTTTCAGTCTATAGTACGATTTATGGGATGAATGCAAATTTCAGCTTACTTTATTTTTAGAAATATTTGCAATAATTTATTTGATGGTGTGAAAATTCCACTATTCAATTTAAGGGCTGCTCATCATATTGTGTGTGTGTATGTATGTATATATATGAAAATAAAGAGGCAACAGGGTGTTTCATGCTAGATGCAATAGTCAGGCCACCGATTGCGTCTAGCATGAAACACCCTGTTGCCTCTAAGTATTGACTTCAATATTCACTTTTATAATTACACACGCTCTATCTCTGATATTGAGCACTTTATCCCATAAACATAGCACACCTTAAGAGTATATTTCTTTTATATATATATATATATGGTTTTGAAAATGACAGAACGTGTTCTTTTAAAAGGGACCTTTTCATCCAATACTTCTTTAGAAAGATTTGTTGGAACAACAATAATCAAAATAAGTAGCCACAACTAAAATATATTACTAAAAGCAAACTGGTGTAAATAAGCTCCATAGTTAGTATAAAACATAAAAAAAAACATTACTCACAACCCACCCAAGAGACAGAGAACAAAGAAAGTTCTCTTTCTGCCTGCACAAAGTTTGGTCAATGAAGCTCGATGTAAATAACTTCTAAAAACCATAAATGTTTAACTAACCAAGCCAAGTGCAGCACCCTGGAGGCTCCATCAACATATTTAAAAGTGCAACCTTGTTTTTTTAATCAAATTAAAAAGAATTTATAATATAGTATAGTTATCAATATCTATTTTTTAATTTCAGATAACAATGAAGTTATCACAGAACAATTAGTTATTATCAATATTTTTAATGAGGATAAATATTATGAACTGAAACTAACACAATCTATATTGCACACATATAAATATATCCTGAATATTTAACTAAAAACTGGTTAGCTAATACCAACTATATTACAAAAACATTGTCTTACATAATACAATACCCTATATAAGTAAAGACAATCCTTAAAAATCCATTTTGGTTAGAGTTTATTTCATGAATATATTTATTTAAATATTCATTTCTTCAGACAGAAGGTTTTCTTTTTTTTTCTAAAAATCCTACATGAATATTTAAATAACTATATTCATGAAATAAACTCTAACCAAAATGTATTTTTAAGGATTGTCTTTACTTATTACTATTATATTGTTCTGTTACTTACATTAAATTTTCTTTGGATTAATGTCCTCCTTGGAATTATCCCTACAAATTCATATTATATATATATATATATATATATATAGGCTACATTGAAGACAACTGACAAGGCATTGCGATTAAGCCTTTCATTCTATTTTTCTTATATTCCTACAAATGATTTCTTTTTCGAACAGAGCGTGTAAGAACTTACCAAATGTTCTGTGGGCTAGAGGGCTTTTGGCAAATCTATTTTACGTTTTTGTTTGTCTGAATATGTAGATTTGTTTTTTATAACAACAGAAATGTTTTCATTTCTGAATATAATCAGTACATTGTGGGCCTGTTCCTAATTGATATTACAGAGAATTGGTTTCTTCTTTTTATCGTTAATGTTTCCATCCTTTTTAACTATTTCCTGTATTTAGATGAATGTATTATGTTTATATTTCCTACAAGTATGTTGCAGATAAAGGTTGGTAGGTCGCCATGTGTATTTAGGTGAAAGTGCTCAGTTCCACAGATCATTTAGACAGTTCATACACATTCTTTGTCCAAAAAAAGAAAATCATCTGTACAAATGCAAGAAAAATATAATAAAAAAGCTTAATCACTTAACAATTATCTTCAATGAAACCTATATAAAAGAGTGATTGATGCCCCTATATGAGAAAAGTGTAAGAAACAAAAAGGAAGTGCCTTATATGTAATATGGAGATACTTCTGTGTCTGGAGAAGCCATGTTTAAGATTACAGATTCAAATAGGCTGGATTCATCTATGTCCCAGGTAAGGACATATTCCACGAATGGAAAACAGCAAGTCTAGGAAAGATATCTTCCCAAAGGGAAACAGCACCATGTACTTGTAAGCTGCTGCTGGGGAGGCAGATTTAGCCTCAGCTTGGGCTCTTTGTGGTGGCTGCTGTAAATAAACTGAATTAGACTGATGCTTTCTTCATTGTATTAAGTGATGTCACTAAGCAGTCTGTCACGTGACCTATGGGACTTATCTCCACCAAAGGGAGATAATCACATTCTGTATCCCTACAACACACACACACACACACACAAAGAAGGAAGAAAGTAACAATCTTACTATTCATAGCAGTGATTCTCAACAACTGATATGCAAATCTGACATGTTACTAAAGTGTCAGATTTTCATATCAGAATCACTGCTAGGAATAGTAAAGATTTTCTTATATGCTACCAACTAAACTGAGTGATATCATTACCGTTTTCAGCTGATCTACATAGCAACACATGGCTTCTTCCTTTGACATTCCACCAAGTTTGTGCCAGGCTTCCCTAGAAATGAAAAATAAAACAAAACAATACTTTCAACAAGAACAAAAACTTTCAATACTCCAAAGTAAAAATAGATTTAACAGGGGTTTCTTTTTTGGGGATTTTTTTTTTTGTTCAGTTCCAAACTTAATGAATTTTTTTTTTAATTAAAACACTCATGAAACAAATTTTACATAAAAACATCACAATTAAAAATATCAGGGTCTGCTATACAGGAAAATTATTGATTTTTCATTGTCATTATATTTTATTTTTGTTTCAAATCAAGTTAGATTTCCTGGATCCTGTTAAATGTTGAATTTAAATGCATAAACAAAAATGTTTGTGCAAAGAGTATTGTTCAAAATAGGTAATAAAAAGAGAAAATAAAGTGTAGAGCCCTTCATAGCAATCTATCATTTCATATTCCTTTTATCTCAGTAAATCATAAACCCATATAAATATATGCAAGAAATTGTGTGATTTGAATATTAATAATATTGTGTCCAGTTGATCCTATCTGTTGCCCACAGTCTAACACTTAAAAAGAATGTTCTTTATTATCAACAATGACAAAGCACTAAGTGACAAAAGTGATAAGTAACCTAACCTTGACAGAAAATGATAAAATCTTCCATGTCTTTTGTCATCAACTCTACACATGGCCAATAAGGTTTTCAGCTTCAGAAATTTGCCCAATCTACCACTGATATGCTCATGGCCATAACTGAATTTGTTCACCACACACTTCACAATAACAGAGAAGCTCGAGCTGTCGCTCTAGATATCTCTAAAGCATTTGATAGGGTTTGGTATGCCAGCCTTCTTTGTAAGCTTCAGGGATATGGAATTTCAGGATGAATATTTGACTTAATACAATCATTCCTGTCAAACCGTGTAATGAAGGTCATCCTAAACAGATTCTCCCTCAGTTCCTTTCTCATGAATGCAGGTGTTTCCCAAGGCTCTATCCTGGGTCCTACAATGTTTCTGATCTTCATTGACAATCTTCCCGATGTCATCAGTTCCCAAGTAGGTATCTATGCAGACGACACCAATTTTTACTTTTGTCTCAATAGCAAATCTGGTATCACTGACAAACAAAACTAACTTGGCTGTTGGTCTCGAAAAAAACTTCAAATCTGTGATTGACTGGGGCAAGAAATGGCTGGTAAACTTTAATATCTCAAAAACAAAACTGCTCTCTTTTACCCACCACAGAGAACCCTCCCTGACTCCCATTAGAATATCTGATGCTCAACTCCATGAGAGCGCCTCTCTGCGCCTGCTTGGTCTCACACTGTCCGCTGACCTGAGATGGAACAAATACATTCAATCAATAGGTTCATCTACTGCAAGGAAAATTTGTTCTATGTGTTGCACCAGAAAGTTTTTCTAATCTGAGTCCATACTTCAAATCTATAAATCAACCATTCACCCTTGCATGGAATACTGCTGCTATATATCATCTGTCAAGGTTCTCGACAAAATCCAGAGACTGATATGCAGTATGATTGGTCCCGATCTGGCATCTCATCTACAGTCACTTTCTCACAGACATACAGTCGCTTCCCTCTGTCTTTTCTACAAATTCTTTCATGGTAACTGCTCCAACAAGCTACTTTTGCTGGTTCCCAAACTGTATGAATTTAAGCATGCTATTAGGTTGACATCTCAGTCCCACCTTTTCATTGTCAAAACTGTTAAATGTAGCCATCTCTTCTACTCAAATAACTTCATATCTCGCACTTCCTGTGTGTAGAACTCCCTTCCTCTTATTTACTTCCCTGATAGCTATTATCTTCAATTATTCAAATGGAATGTCAATCAACACCTTCAGAAGCTTTGATCTAATTCCCCATCCTCCTCTTCATCCTTTCCTCTATCATTCCTTACGCTTGCTCCCACTCTCTGTAACCCCTTGCGTGCTCATGGTACTCCCGCCTTGCTTGGGGTGAAATGCTTAGGATAAAAAAAAATATATATATATATATTCATTTTACTGAAAGTTCTTCTGGGTATCTGAACAAGACAAAGCTCATAAACAAGGGATAACTGAAATAAATCTCGCTACAAAAACAGAAATCCACATATAATAGTTTTTATAGCAAATACTTATAAAATCACTTGAAATGTTCTAGTGTCACTTAAGTGACAAGGGATACATAAGTCACAGAGTTTTTCCAGTTGCATTCAAAAATGAAAGTACAAAATTATGCTAACCACTTGGCTTTCTTGACAACATCCCAAAAATTGGGTTTAGGTGCAGTACATTGTCCTTCAGTGGCTTGCTTGTAGAAGGCATAGAACTTCAACATCATTTCATTTGATGGTTGGAAGGAACCTGAAAAGATTAAAAAAAATTGTGGGTGAAATTGAATGACAAAGATTTGTCAATGAAAAAGAGTTCTTGTGAAATTCTTCCATCATTAATTATTTGTTTTGTGGATTACCAAGCATTTTATTCCATAATAATAAGAAAACAGTGGTTAAAATTGTAATGAAAAGTTTGACTTATGCTATTCTGACTCCATGTTTGAAGAAACTCAGGAGGTAATTTAAGTGAACTCTATCCAAGTAAAAACACAGAAGATCTAGGATGGGGATGGGAGTAAAACCATTGCTGAGCAGCGGAAACTTGTTCTTTTTTATGATTGTTAACAATTTTGAGCCTTACAATTTGTCAGTATGTGCACATATACAAAAAAAGCTTCTTGTATTGTTCATTTTAGTAAGATCAGCTTAAACAGTGAATTGTCAGAACAATTTGGACTCTTCTTTGCCCAACAACAGCAAAGTCTTCCTTCCACTCGGTCACTAAAGCACAAAAATAAACCCCAATGATTTAAGATACCTCAAGTGAGTAATCAAGTCAAAAGTACAAAAAACATTATTATTTTGACTGCAATCAGCAACAAATCGAAGAATATTAGGATAAAGAAAGGAATTCAATACAGATTTTAATGGGTCAGAAACAATCAACAATGAGCAAGAGTGGATGTTGCTATCATTGCAAAATGAAAATATTACCTATGACCAATTATTACAGGCACATGTACTATATCATAACTAAGTACAGTCCCTTCAACTTGTAATCATGAAAACACCAAATGTCATATCAGTAAATAGATAGAGAGTGATTGCAGAACAGATTGCTTTTCCAAAGATACCTGAAAAGCAATTAGTAATCTTTAATCCCAAGTAAATAAAATTAATAAAAAGAATTCTACAATTGTTAATAAATATTTCAGATACCAAAGTAATTCCTATTGCCAATGTAACTGATCCTTGAAGATGTAGTAACATTAAATCTGAATATTTCTCTCCCTTATTCTATTAAACAAGTTCTTTATATTTGTAGGCATCATCTAAAAAGCTTTCATATTATGCCTGTTGGTTCTAATCCCAATGGAAAATGGCTGCAAAACACTTTCCTCCTCCCTAATTTAGAGGCAGAACCACACAAAATCAATTTCATCTGACTCAGTCCCTGTCTGTCTTTTCTTGAATCAGAACACTACATTCATTTATCCGAATTCACTCGTGTGTTAACACCAATTCTTTGTAAACTTTTTGCCACATTACTGTTAATTTGCCTTGTATATATTGTTTGCTTACTTTATGTTATTTTTGCCCTGTTCTTTTCTTGTTATTGCAAACTTTGTCAATTCTTTTTGGTGGGTAGCTCTACCATGGCCACTCACTCTACACTTATGAGGTACATTATGCAAATACAGAGTGTGATGTAAATAAGTGTGTGTGTGTATTAGTGAATATACATAATATCCAACGTTGATAGCACAACTCATGCAAACCTGCAATCTCCAAGTGCTGAATACATTCTAACCGTTATGAGATTTGCATTCTCATGGTGATGATTTAAAAATTGTGTGTTAAAACTTGTTTATTTAATTATTGTTGCCTAAAATATTATAATTATTTATAGAATTAAAAAATTAAAATTTATTTTAAATGAAAAAATTTGAAATTAAGTAAACATGTTAAATGTCAAGGGGGGATAACTCTCTTTATTTCACCCCCTTGAAACTTAACATGTTTATTTAATTTCAAATTTTTTCATTTAAAATAATTTTTAATTTTAATTTTTTGTCTTTGAACTTAAGAATTTGAATGATATGAATTACAAATAATTAATATTTTAGGCAACAATAACCATCTACCCATGATTAACCATTACATCTAACCATGGTCACTCACTCTACAATTACAAGGTGCATTATACAAATAGAGTCTGATGTAAATAAGTGTGTGTGTGTGTGTATATATATATATATATATAAAATGTACATGTAATGTGTTTGGTGCATAGAATGTTGGGAGGAAAGAGGTTACATAGTAGGGAAACATTAGAAGAACAGAAGCAAACCTCATTGGGTTTCTGGCCAGAATTGTTTTGTTTTTCTCTTCCACATTAGGATTGTTCAATTTCAGTACATTGGCATATTGTGCATTTCTTGTTTGCTTTGAAAAGCAACAATGAATAATGTGAGTGATTCTATCTTTGGCTGCTTAAACCTGCAAGTTATTTTGGCTATTGACATGGTATGACAATATCAACTGGTCAACTATAAAGGAAAAACATACAGAATCTGACTAGTTTTGGCTTGGCAGAAAAAAAAAACAGCCAAGGAAGATTTGGGTTAAGATGCTGCATGAGGGGTTTCAAACTAAAGAAAGACAGGACAGGAAAATTAGTGTTTTGGAGAGGGAATAAGATTATTCCACAAATGACCAATTAGTAGAATAGATTTATTTTCAGTGTACATTACATTGGTAGGGCACTACTTTATTGCTGGATGTCTCTGGATTGCATGGGTTACTCAAGAATAGTTCACACCTTTTTTTCACCAAAATTTCAATAAAAATCAAGGGTGCAACCTATCCACTTGACATCATAATGAATCTTAAGTAGACCGTGGTTTATCAGTAATCCAGGCGAGTACCCTAGGCTCAAGCATAAGTGAGAGCAAAGGATAAAATAAATTTTCCTAACATTTTGATTTTACGCAGTCGTGCCTCTTCCAACATTACCACATCATGCATTGAATAAAAGTGCTTGATCTACACTACTCATATTTACCATTTATTATCTGATTTCCAACAAAAGACTATTATATTCAAGTGATTTTAGGACTGAAGTGATTAGCGGTATCCACATTTTCTATCTAAATGAAGCAGCCCCACACTCAACAGTATCTCTGAGGAACTAATAATCAAAAAGCCTTCAAAAAATGTGGTCATCTCCAATGCCATGGATGGTACTGAAAACGATGTGATGCATGAGGAGTTGGTTGACTCAAGCATGAAAAAGACAGAGAATGAGGATGAAGATGAACATGCCATAACTGATGATGAACTGAACTAACAAATGAAAAGAATGTTTGACAATGGTGATGAAGAAGTATTTTGGGGTTTCAGTTCTGAAGAATTTAATAACTATATCTAAATGAATAAACAATTTTCTTATGTTTTAATATATGTAAACAAAGTTTTGAAATAAAGGTGGATATTTGAAAATATTTAGCAAATATTAGTTATATTTACATTAAAAACAAAGCCCATGTAACTTGCAAGTCAACTGCCAATACACACTTTGACAACCCCAAACTACTGGTACAACCTATCTACTAGTGTGACCAACACACAAGTATATATGGCAACTATGTTAAGAGAAAAGCAGAAAGAGTAAACTGAAATGGTAAGGCAGATGAAGGGTCAATTGCCATGATGAGGAATGTTTGTGGAAGAAATAGAATAGGAAGACCTAGTGTGAGGAAAGTGGTACATACCTGTGAGTTGGGGGTCATATGGTGTAATGCTAGGAGCATGGCAAAAGGCATTGTTTTTGGAAGTGGATGTTGTCAATTCAGAAGATGCAGCATCCTTTAGGTAAAACAAATTATGCCTGTCCTATAAACATAGCCTAATTGGATGCCAGAATGAAAGGACTTCATTTGGTATTGAGGTGGAGGTTATGGGATACTGAAATAAAAACCGATTTCGCTACAACGTTTACATGGGTGAAGTCCATAATTACTGGTGAAAAAAGAGTGTGAGTAAAACAAAACACAGAAATGCTCATCAAGCAGCATCGGAAGATTATATATTTGATTGTGGAATATCCAACCAAAGCTGCATTAAAACCATTAAAAGGCAAATTTTTTATAGACGGTTTTCTAGACAATTCAAAAATGACCTGAACATGTTAAATTGGATTCATACCAGAAGACTAAATTCTAACCATAAGAGTCACTTAATTTTGGGATTTGCCATTCTTCAGTATGAATAAACACAGAACTCCATACTTCATAAAATGCATTGTTTTTGCACAAACAAGTATCAGTAAATATTATTAAAAATCTTTTGCATCTATTTTTTTTCCAAATATTGCAAATTCTTTGAACAACCAATGCTCCAAACTGTTGCCAACACTTTTAATAAAAGCCTACTGGGTTTAATCGTAATCTGCAGACAGTTCAAATAAAATGTATGACTAGGAAATTTGAATCATTCTCAACTAGGTTTTAAAAATTAAACTAAACAACAAAAGGTCTGTCCAGTACCTCAATTGCTTAATGCTTTCTCTGATGAGTGGTGACTTTCCTCTGCTTGCTCTCTAACATAATAATCTAAATGATGTAGTTACCTTACTGATATTGTTAGACACACACTGTAATAGTCTTGTAGCTGAAGAGTTCTAGAAGTAAAAATACAAACTAGTCAAAAGCCGCAGAACTGTATGCTGCAAAACTGTCCTTTACACACTGCAGTGAACAAGAACAAGCAACTGAACCATCATTCGGGGCGCTCAGTTTATCTATAAGTCAGAAAGTCAATTATCTGTTCAGTTAGAACAGAAATTTGCATGACATTCTCTATATAAACTGAGAAGTCACACAAGCATTCCTTTTTCAACAGTAGATAACATACACAACATGCTGTCACTTGTTTTGACAAGGTAAGTTGCCATTTACTTCACCCCTACAGTCAGTAGGGAATTGTATAAATGTAAGTTCACAACTGAAAGTGAAATTTCCAATTTGATGTTGGATGATATCACTTTCAAATGGACCAGCACTACCACCTCACCACTTCAAAATCTGCTGTATGAGGCATTGTGAAGTGATTTCATGCTTCTCTTATGTTTTTATAATAAACTGAGAAATTGCAATAGAAACAAATTAGTTTAGCTAAGAGTTGGTTAATCAATACAGGACCAAACTCTTCCACAGTTCTTTCATTGGTCCTTGTGCTACATGCTGTAAATTTTCACGAATAAGTCATTTGCAGAAGATTACATTTTTTTAACACATGGGGAAACAA